GAGAATGAGAAATATAGTAGATGGTTGTAGTAGATGAACAATTTGAAAGGGATTCGAGATGAGATAGACATGTAGTGAGAAAACTAGAGAGATAAGACAGATAGATAGATGAGAAAGAGAGTGAGATTGGAGGAAAAGAATGAGGAGAGGAGAGGGAGAGGAGAGGAGAGGGAGGAGAGGGAGGAGAGGGAGGGAGAGGGGGGAGGGAGGAGGGAGAGAGGAGAGAGAGAGAGAGAGAGAGAGAGAGAGAGAGAGAGAGAGAGAGAGAGAGAGAGAGAGAGAGAGAGAGAGAGAGAGAGAGAGAAGAGAGATAGAGAGATAGAGAGATAGAGAGAGAGAGAGAGAGAGAGTGCAGAAAGAAAAAATAAAGACAAAGACAAAGACAAAGAGCCCCGCTGAATAAAGTACACCAACATGCCGACGCCACACGACCTACCCGACTCCGAGCACCGACGTCTGTCCCGCCGCCCTTGTCCTCTTACCTCGTCGCCTTCAGAAAATCGTTGGAAGCAGGTATATGAAACCTTGCGCCATCGCCACCCATCCCTGTCTCACTTATTCTAATCTCTTCCTACTTGATTCTCCTTCTACTGTTGTTCATACTAGACATATTTTGCATTTTAATTGTCCTCTCCGTATAGGGGGACGGGGACTCGGACGGGACGGTTCAATGACTTCATGGCTAGGCCGTTGTAGGGTCCTTCTCCTCCCCCATCCCCCTCCCTCCCACCCTAACCCACACCCCCAACACATGTAACGCGACCCCAAAACACGCCAGACTCGACCCCCCCCCCACACACGCATCCTCCTCCTCTCCCCTACCACTTACCCTCCCCTCTCCCCTCACTCGGGTATCCTGGCGTGACATACTATCTGGAGGTATCGACGGAAGAGAAACGCCGGAATAGCTGTAATATTTGTTTTTTTTTTCCTATCAAAAATCTGCGCGTTCCTATCTGCCTCTCTCACAGACCTGCTTGGATGTCTGTCTTAATCGTCTACCTTTCTTGTAAATCTGTGTCTTTCGGTCTTTTTTCATAGGCCTATGCATTTGTCTTTTTTTTTTCTTTAGGTTTCTCTACCTGTCCCTCTACCACCCTGCACCCCCTCCTCCCCCATATGCATCTAAATATTCAAATCCCACCTCTCTCTCTCTCTCTCTCTCTCTCTCGGCCCGTTGATTTGCAAGCCACTAAAAATATTGCATGACGGTAACATAACAAGAACGTGTACTCTTATATATATAGTGTGGCGCGGCGAATGACGGTGTGACGTGATGGCGAGAGTAACCGAGTAATTTGACAGATAATGAGTGTTGTTTTCGCGTGAGAATACCAGATGACTCAAGCATTTTCGCGTTTCATGCCAGGAGAGTAGAGTGATACCACCACCACCACCACCACCACCACCACCACCACCACCACCTCCACCTCCACCTCCACCTCCCTCCTCCTTCCTCCCTCCCACCCATATCCGTCGGCAGTTTCCTGGCAACCACGTGCCCCTATGTGAGTCAGCCATGATCATCTAGAATTGCAGAGAAGGAGCTTGCCGTGTTGCAGAAGACTGGCCGATCGAGTTCAAGGAAGTTCCTCCCTCCCTCCCCAATGCCTTCAGAAAACCCGTCCTTCCTCCTTCCTAAAATACACTTGCTGCGTCCGCTATTACCTAGGATCCACCTGGGATAAAAAAAAGCTAGAAAAAAATAAATATATCGACGTAATTTCCCTCTCGCAAATCCTTTATACAAGGGATGAAAAAGAATCGAATGTATTCCACCCCGCAATTAATGGGAGAACAGGTGAAGCGGCAAGGTTGGCAAGCCTGCGAAGTCGTGACGTCATTCTGGCGGCCCGCCAAGACGTGCGCCATTCAATAATAAAAACAGCCACTGCTTTACGTAGCCAGGTAAAAAAAATCAAACGTTTTCGAAAACGCTCCCCCTCTTATCGAAATATAACGTTTGGACAATCGAAAATAACTCCCCTCTCTCATTAAATGCTCCAAGGATAGAAAAATTAGAATTATCTGAACGATGTTCGACCAAATATGGGATGCCTTGAGCCAGGTATGCAGTCTCGCCGCACACTGATTCGCTCTTTTTTCTCTCTCGGTCCATTTCGGAGCCAAAGCGCACCCGCGTCCAACTGAAAGCAGCCTCGCACATCACAGACGAAGGACCATGACAAGAGCGAAGCGTCGAATTAACAAAAGGAGGAAATTAAGCTCGGAAAAAAATAAATCACAGATTAAAACATCCCGCCTCCCTCTTTCAAAAAGTAATGTGGATTTTCCATCTCTTATGCAAGCTCGAGGTTTTCTTGCGCAACGCCCCGATTTCGTAACTGGTCGCAGAGCACGTCGAGACATGGCGTGCTCGGGTCCCTTTTCCGCGTGAAAAGAGGCACTTGAACGCTTTCGTCACCAAGTTTCTTTTCATAAACATTAAATCATTCAACCATTTGGTCTTGAATGTAACAGATGAATCAGATTATGCTTTAAATTCTGGTGGGCGATGTCCTTCGATTATCTCGCGTGGCTTTTGAAGGAGGAAGGGGAAGGTAGGGGGCGAGGGGGTAAAGCAGGGAGATGAGGAAAACAGGAAGATATGAGAGAGGAAACCAAGAGGAAGAAAATGCGAGTAGGAGGAGGCCTCATATGAAGAAAGCAGGAGGAAGAAGAACAAAGCAGTAAGCAAGCTATTATAAAGGAAGTCGAAGCTTCGGCTCCCGTTTCTGCCACTAAGAAAAAAAAAGAGGAAAGGAGGCGTTGAAAGGAAGGAGGAAATGGGAAGGGATGCAGTGGAACCGTGCCCCCAACACCAAAAAATTACCCACTCCCACCGCAATTACCGTCGACGATCAACCCCCGTAATTCGAAACGCCCAGAGATGAATTCACAACTGTCGCACACTTTGAAAAGTTCGAACCGGCAGCAAATCGGAGCTCCAAAACGAAGCTTCGTTCGTTCGTCGAAATGTGATCCTTATTCGTTTCCATTCGTCGCTGACTTGAGATGTTTCAAGGTCACTTCTCGAAAACGTTTTGGGATGCTCTCTGGAATATTTGTTCTCCCTCCGCCTTTAGTCTATTCTTTTTTACACCGTTTTAATTAGGATTAATGTTCTTAAACGGGGAAAGAGAAAGAGGAGGAGGAGGAGGAGAAAAGGGGGAAAGGAAAGAGGAGGAAAGGGGGAGGAGGAGGAAGAGGAAAGGATGAGACGGGGGAGGGAGAGGAGGAGGGGGATGGGGAAGAGGAAGAAGGGGAGGATAGAGGGGGGAGGGGGGAGGGGGAGGAGGGAGGAGGAGGAGGGAGGAGGAGGAGGAGGAGGAGAGGAGGAGAGGAGGAGGAGGAGAAGGAGGGGAGGGAGAGTAGGGAAAAGGAGGAAGGGAAAAAGGAGGAGGGAGGGGGAGGGGGAGGAGGAAGACGACGACGAAGATGAGGAGGAGGAGGAGGAGGAGGAGGAGGAGGAAGGAGGAGGAGGAGGAGGAGGAGGAGGAGGAGGAGGGGAGGAGGAGGAGGAGGAGGAGGAGGAGGAGGGAGGAGGGACGAAGACGAGGTGCGGCGGTGACAGCGGCTACGGATAAGGAAGTAAACGGAGGTATGGGGAAAGGGAAGGTGGGGAGAGAGGAAGGAAGGGATGAAGAGAGAAGAGAGTGAATAGAGAGCAGAGGGAAGGGGAAGGGGCAGGGAGAGAGGAAGGAGAAGATTGGAAAAAAAGAGGAAAAATAAGGTACGAAAATGTCAGAGAAAAATCATAAGCAATGTGAAAACATTAAAAAGGGAAAGAGTAATGTAAGAAAACAAGACAAAAGCAAAACGAAATGCCATCACGCCTTCGTGAGTATTCCCCTCGCCCTCAGCCAGCAGCCTACACTAGACCACGCCCACCGAAGTCCTCAGTCACCCGTTGTTCGGAAATAGTATTTTCCTTGTCCCAAATATGCACAAGGGAAGTGCAATCATTAACATTAGGGAGAGAGATCCTGCACGTTTGGATCTTGCTGACACCATTCCTGAAGGGGCGAGGAATTCGCTTACTTTAAAAGGGATTATTTGGTGATTAGTCCCTCTTAAACCCCCCCTCCCTCCTCCCTCCTTCCTCCTTCCTCCTTCCCCCTCCTCCTCTTTTCCCCCCACCTCTCCCTCTCCCTCTCCTTCTCTCTCCCTCCCTCCCCCTTCTTCTTCTCCCTTCCCCTCCTCCTGACCCTCCCTCTCCTTCTCCCTCCCACCCCTCCCCTTTCTTCTCCCTCCTAAGACATTCCTTGGCAGATATCATGTGTTTTGCCTACCTGTCTTTTTTTCTTTTTTTTATATGTTCCATTTGTTTTTTCTTTTTTTTCCCTTTTCAAATTCCATTCAACTAAGTAATAGAACTGAATATCAGCCAAATTCCTAGTCTATCAAAGTATTGTGCATTCTTGGCCACAGTAAATTCCCACGTTTATTTCTAGCTCGTGACCTTGTTCCGCGAAACAATAAAACTTGACCTTCTTCTCATTCTAACTCATCTTTTAATCACTTCCATCACTCGTCAGAAATGCCAGCAATGAACAGAATTTGGTCTAAATTTCAAAATTAGTTCGGATTAGACTGCTTAGTTTTATATCCATAAAGACCACCAAAATATCTCAGATATCACCAACAACCTAATCCAAACTCACGATTCCACTAGTGAATGATGTAACTAATGGTATTCCTTTTGCCGTCTGTATACCCATTAAAATATGGAAATGCCCTTGTGATGCATACGCATAATCTATTCAGCCTTATTTACTCCAAGGGAAGAACAAGAACACCCAATTTGTTCAGCAAGAACATTCTACACAAACTGAATAACAATAGGACGCAAAATACCATGAACCATTTTCAATCGATCTTGGAGCATACAACACTATGGCAAATATACAAAATTCTGTTAATATGGCCTTAAAATTCCAAAAAAATACAATTATGTCACCCACATTTATATTATAAAAAAAGTCCTCTCCCACCTCCAAGAAAGATATAACAGTTCATAGTACCTTCCTCAATAATCTAAAAAACATATAGAAATCGGAGATCAACTTACCTGTGACTTTTTGCCCCATACTCATCCGGTTACGACGAGGGCCTCGTGAGCTATGGCGCTGGTTGGAGTGGTGGTGATGGTGATTATGGTGATGATTGTGGTGATGGTGAGGTGCGGCAGCAGCGGCGGCAGCGGAGGACCTAGTTGAGTAGGGTGGGGGGGCTTCGTGGTGGTTGTGGCGGCCGGTTGCGTTGTTGGTGGTGAGGTTGTTGGAGGCGTTGTCGTGCTGTTGGTTGGTGTCTACTCCACCACTACCACCGTTGTCAAGCTTTTGTGAGGATGCGTTGTTGGTGCTTGCACCGCCCTGGCCGGATCCAGTGCTAGTCTTTCCTCCCTGAAAGAAAAGATGACACTTTTATAATTGAGAGCTACGGGGAGCATTTGTAAAGGGTGAATGCACTGCTTATATAACCATTTTCATTTCATCATAAAAAATAATCATACCCTTATGAAAACGATTAATCATATGAAGAAGTGAATAAAAATAACTAAACAAAGCTAATAAATAACTCTTGTGATGATGCATAAATTCTCATTCAAATTCAACCTGCAATAATTTAATGTCAGTTAAAGACCACCACCATTTAATGATAGAAAAAAACGTAGATTCAAATCAGAAACATGTTTGAAAATAGTAACCATGACATTTTTATATTTAAATGGATAATTACCCAGTTGAAGATGAAACCCCTATCAACATCAGAAAAACAATAGATTCAAATAGGAAACATATTTTTTAAAAAGTAACCGATACTTCTGTGCCGAAAAAATAAACAGCTAAACTACATACTGAGAAAGAAAAAGATTTGTTAAATTCACCAGTCCTTTTTTCTTTGCAACAAGATATCCAGTTACAATGGTCTTTACTATCTGAATGCTCAATAATTGCATACTGCAATAGCCTTTTCAGTATCATCATCAAACCTTTGTATGAATTTTACCTCTTCAATTGAATTTTAGATAAGAATAAGCATCATATTGTAAGTATCAAATATACATATGCAAGAAAACAATTTTCTTGAAACTTGAAATATCCACAGGATAGAAGTACAAAACCATGTAAAGGCATTAAATATTCCTTCTAAATACATAGTCAAGAGGGAAGCATCAATACTGGGTCACACCTTGATCATCTTTGTCCTAATTTACACTAAGATGCTGTAAAATATTATTCAACTGATCTATGAATTGAAATATTTCAAAAATGAAAATATTACTTGTAGCTAAAAAAGCATTCCACAATGAACTTCTATACAATCTAAAAATACAATATACTCTTTAAATCCTTCCCACAACCACTAAAGCAACAAAGATACATCAGCAAATATCCAACACAAAAAATGCTTGCATAAACACAATATCATCAATAATCAGATCATGTAAACAAAAATCTAATTACATATTCAAAACATCCTAATCCACCTGAAACCCCATTGCTAGTTTCAATTAAGAGAGAAAGAAATTAAGCTGAACTTTCCTGAACACAAGACAGATACCTTCAATACAAGCTCATGAAAGATGCATGGAGAGAACTATTCAAGGTAACAATATAAACCATGTGTCTAAATTCTGCAACATAACTCAGAATGCACTTAAAATAGCATGTCGAACAAACAAAACAATGCCACAAGAAGTAACAAGAAGAATGTATAATTAAGTAAAACATGAACATTAAAAGACATCATGATAGAGGGAAGGCTGTATTCTGTTGCATTTTGTAAAATACAATAACTATATCAACACAATGGAGTCCATAGTCTATACTATATACATCCCAAAATCTGGAGTATTAAGAGATCAAAAAGCCATTTAGATAGATATTACTCTGCACAAAGAGAGCACCAGCTGATATTTTCATCACATGTAAGGATAAACAAAAGGGAATATTAAATCCATTCCCCTTTCATGCTACCACTGATGGAAAGCGCTTGAATATGAAAAAGCGAGGAAATGATCAGACAATAAGGCGATTCACAACGAAGCAATTAAAGAGGTGATGAAAAGCTGAATAATTTGGAGGGGATTCACGACTGAAAAGGAGATTAGTGTTCTTATGTATAATTCACTTCAAAGAAAATCTGTGGATGCGCATCTTTATCACCCGTTTCAAAGGACTTTCATCTCAGTGACCAGTTCTCAGCTCAGAGAGAGACACAGGACAAAGACAGCATATTTGACAAAATGAGATCATAATGAGACAAATAAAAAAATAAGAAGAGTAAAGCGTACCCATGAGAAAGTAAAGAGAAAGGGAGGAGGGGAGAACAGAGGGAGGAGGGAGGAGGAGAGAGGAAGGAGAGAGAAGGAAGGAGGAAGGAGGAAGGAGGAGGAAGAAAAGAGGAGGAGGGAAGGATGACAATGGTGACAATGACAACAACAATGGCGATATAGAGAAGAAGAGGATGAGGAGCAGGAGGAGGGAAAAATGAATAAATAAATAAACAGATAAATATGCATGAATAAACAGGATCACAAGGAAATACTTGTTGAAGGTGAAGTAGACAAAACAAAAAAGATTATCATCTCTAAGTTCTTTAACCGATACTAAAATGAGCATTTACATCTAAGTATACTCTATCTATGGAAAACATTTCTAAACAGATCAGTAAAATTAAACCAAAAAAGAGATTTATACCTGTGTAGGATTTATCAAATGCTTTTAAAATAATTGCCTTTCCCTTTAAAAATAAAAAGACAATTTTTTTTAGATCTATATCAGTCTTATAAGAGAATATCATACATTATCAATCTAAGGCTCTTCGTGGAAATTACAAATTACATTAAATGAAAGAGAGGAAAAGAAAAAAAATCTTTATACAATCTCTATCTGCACATCAAGCAAAATCATAATACCGCTTAACGTGAAAAACAAAAAGTCAGAAACGGAAAGCAAATATAAACAAATGTCTACTTCTTTATCAGTTATAGTTGAAAGCTTTGTTCTATCTGAAATACTAAAATCTGAAAAGAGACTTCAAACAGCAGATCTAAAAGAGCCAATATGAAATGCATTATCTAGATGGCAATTGTAGTATATGAATTACATATACTATTTAAGCAGATATCAATATTAAAAGAGTTAATGAAAAATCTAAACAATCTGTCATTACAGTCAGAACAAATGGCTTGAAAAGCTCAGATTAGTTATGTTTATCTTTGTTTTGCCTTTAAAGACTAGCCAAATATAGCCACTCGGCAACATAGTCTAAGAGTACATTCCCTTTAAGCTCCCTCTGTAAGTGAACAAATGGATTATTTTTCAATATCTACCATTGGCTTGCCTTCCTAGCTTTGAGGTTTAATATTTTCAGTGATATGTATGGAAAACAGCAGGTTGCACTATCACAAATGAAATCATATATTCTCTAGCTCAACAGACAGTAAAATAACTCATAAAAAATAGGGGGCAACATGTCTCTAGACCTCATAAGCTTTCTCTTGATAAGTTATATATAATAACAATAACAATAATAGCACTTGTAATGATAATGATGATAGTGGTGGTGGTGGTGGCATGATAAGCGCGTATTGATTCACATTAAATACTCAATTATACGGCCTCTACAAGCCCTGTCAACATTCCCAAGATACCAACTCAAATATGATTACTTGTTACCCAATATGCCTTGACTTGCACATCCTGGGAAGCTATTTCAAAGCTTATACATCAATAGCACCATTCAAGAGGGACCAGTTTTGCTCTTTTTTCTTACTACAATGAAAATAATAACTAATAAAAAATGACAAAACCATATACAAAAAGGCAACGAACTATAAACGAACATTATTTCCTGATTATCATTAAAAAAATATGATAAAAGAGCTGATTCATGTGCAAGTCACTTCAAATAAAATCAATTAAATTACCTGAATTTATACAAATTTACTCTGTTTCTCATTTCTTAATTTACAGGCAGGAAAGCACAGGAAAATTAAACATTCTGTGTGTAATTTACTTCTAAACATCCAACAGAGCATCTTCTTATAAAGATTTAAAATGTCTGACATGTATTTCTCTAATTAGACAATTACAAACAACTGTCTGAATTTTTTCTCTTTATTTTTATTACTTCTGACCTTGCATTTAGTGCTTCCTTACAGTGAAAGTTACTCTCTAACTGTATGTGGTAAAACTCCATGTTGTGTGTGAATAGATCACAAACATTATTATTCAGATTTGATAATTTTGAGGATATTAGTCAAGTATAATGGTTATGCATACTTATGTACATACATACATACACACATTATATATATAATATATATATATATATTATATAATATATATATATATATATATATAATATATATAAATATATAAATATACATATACAAATGCATATGCATAAACATGCATATACACACATACACATACATATACACATAAATTATTTGTAATACAACTTTATATAAATAGACATACATATATATACATACATAAAGAGATAGATAGATAGATAGACAGATAGACAGAGAGACAAATAGACAGACACACAGAGACAGACAGACAGATAGACAGATAGAGATATTCATGTTCTCAATTATCTCTTACTGACACTATATGCAATCTTAATATCCTATTCAGATGCTAAAACAACTAAAGCAAACAGAAATCAACAGAAATCTCACCTTATGCTTAGTAGTTGTGTTGTGGTGGTGCGTGTGAAGAGGCCGAGTGTGATGTCTCCTTGGTCTGCCCACAGATGCTGCAGACGCGGAAGACTGTTGGGTGGCGTAGCGGGGCGATCGCCTGACACCTACTGCTGCTCCTCCTGCTGCTGCTGCTGCCGCTGCTGCTGCTGCCGCTGAGCCCCCACCGCCACCACTCCCACACCGCTTACCACCGTACCTGCAATTGCAAATGCCATTAGTAACTCTTGATACAACCTGACAGTTTTCTTTCTATATCACAATAATACCTTTCTGATAATCTTGGAAGAATTTCCAAAGAACTAATGCTAACATTGCCAAAATACAAAAATATTTGAACACTTTTTAGACATAAAAGAATAAAACAGTGATCAAAATGTTATCATCCTAGAATTTTCTAAAAGAGCCTACATCCCTATATCAGTAAAAAATATCTGATTTGAAAATCTCATTCCTAGAATTTTAATAAAGCATGAAAGCAGTAAACAGGTTTCTGTTACTAAAGCAATGAGTAAAAGAATTGTGACAACACTGCCAACACATATTTTCCTATTAGTATTACTGTAATGAATAGAACATCATAACTGCTGCTTTGCATATCATGACTTGCACACAGAAATCCATATTTGAAAAACCTAAAATTACAAATAGCATTTTACACGATTTAAAGCCAGTACCTTCCCCCGTATCCCACCAGAGCTGGCCCAAGGAACCAGGCCCTCTCCGAGCCTGGCAAGGGGCAACTGGGGTATGGCTGGTGGTTTTGCGATGGTAATGGAGGTCCAGCAACCACAGGAGCAGGTAAAGGGGTGTATAATGAGGGTGTAAAGATGACCCACTCCTGCAGGAAGGGATTCATGCCAAAGCTCAGTCACACCCAACACTGATGACTGATCCTCTCATATGAGTATCCAATTTTCCTTTGCGAGAAGGCACTTTTCTGCATTTTGCCTTGTCATTTGTAATACAATTTTTTATTTATGTATCAACTGGTATGCATTCTTTTCTATAAATAGTTCTCAATAATGCCACATTTCAAACTTCTATCCCTGTTACATCTGTTTGCACTGAAGATGAATTAATAAGTCATCATCTGCAATGGAATCCACAAGCCTTAAATGTGTGATCATTTTTCCATTCCCAGATAATTCCAATAACATTCCACTTACAATGTTTTTTTATATTCTATTTATGTACACTCCCCCCTTCACCCTCTCCCTCTCTCAGCATAAATTTGCCTCTACTTTCACATTCAAAACATTTTGGGGTGCCTAAAAATAGTAGGAATGCACTGATGTGGAAGAGGGAGTGGGGTAGGAAGGAGGAGGGGAGAAAGGGAGAAAAGATGGAGGGAAAGGAGGAGGGAAGTGGGGGGTGGAGAGGGAGGAGGAGGGGGAGGGAGGAGGGAGGGAGGGAGGGAGGGAGAGGGAGAGGGAGGGAGGGAGGAGGAGAGGAGAGAGGAGGAGGAGAGGAGAGAGAGAGAGAGAGAGAGGAGAGAGAGAGAGAGAGGAGAGAGAGAGAAGAGAGAGAGAGAGAGGAGACGAGAGAGAGAGAGAGTGGAGAGGAGAGAGAGAGGAGAGGAGAGAGGAGAGTGAGTGAGAGGAGAGAGGAGAGAGAGAGTAGAGAGAGAGAGAGAGGAGAGGAGAGGAGTGAGAGGAGAGAGAGAGAGAGAGTGGAGAGAGAGAGAAGAGAGAAGAGAGAGAGAGAGAGGAGAGAGAGAGAGTGAGAGGGAGAGAGAGAGTGAGAGAGGAGAGAGAGAGAGTGAGAGAGAGAGAGAGAGAGAGAGAGAGAGAGAGAGAGAGAGTGAGAGGAGAGAGAGAGAGTAGAGAGAGTGAGGAGAGAGAGAGAGAGAGAGGAGAGAGAGAGAGAGAGGAGAGAGGAGAGAGAGGAGAGAGAGAGAGAGAGTGAGAGAGAGAGAGAGAGAGAGGAGAGAGAGAGAGTGAGAGAGAGAGAGAGAGAGGAGAGAGAGAGGAGAGAGAGAGAGAGTGAGAGGAGAGAGAGAACAGAGAGAGAATGAGAATGACAGACAAGCAACGAATACCTAGAAAATAAAACAAAAATAACAGAACAGGAGATGGAGGAGTGGCAAACAGAGGACTAGAGGAGAGGGGAGAAAGTGAGGGGAGGGAGAGAGAGAGAGAGAGGGGAAGGGGGCAAAGCTAGCTCATGCCAGCCAGGGTCATGCACCACGCGGCCAAGTGGGGGCTTCCTCTTTAACAGCTCTAGGCCACATCTCATACCACCTTTCGGTCTTTTAACGTTTTTATTTTTTATTTTTTGGTCTTTTTTTAGCCCCACAATGCAGTCGTAGATTGGAAATATCTTTTCCTTGGATAGTTAGCATCTCGGCGTTTCTTTCTAGTTTTCGGACTACGTAATCCTAACCACACCGACGCATTTTTCAAACATTTTCAGAATCCGAATTTAAATAACCCCCAAACAAGTCCACACAACTCAACGCGGAAATCCAGCTCACTCCACAACCACATACGCCCACACGCCAACAAAACATTTCGAAATAAAACGCCACATAATAAAAACGAAAAACAAAAACAAAAAAACGTCTCGGGAACACGCACAGAGCCATCACCGAGACCTTCGTTTTAATTACACGGCGCCGATAAAGTCTACGGGGATTGCACTCCAGGGAAACGTTTCGCGTGAGGGACCCTGCTTCCCCGACCCGCTTTTTCTTTAACGTATTCACAGTAAAATGTTTCCTACTCATTTTGAACAAAATTAAGGAAAATTAAATGATAATGCGGTACTATCAATACCGGACTAACTGTAATAGTAACAGTTATGATTATAACCCATAATAATAATAATAGTAGTAGTAACAATAATGATAACAATAACAACAGCAATAACTATAACAATAAAAACAAACAATAATAATAAAACAGTATCCGTCCACTTTCCCTTCACTTTGACTTCCGTTTAATACAAACAATCAACAGCAGCAGAAAATTAAGAAGAAAAAAGGAGGAAGGAGATGACGATGATGATGATGGCAGGAAGAAAAACGGGAAGGAAGGAGGGAGGAGACAAGGAGCGGAAAAAGTGAAGGTAACAGGGAAGGCATAAAAACGACAGCGAAGGAGGAAGAAGGAAAGGTGAAGCAGGAAGTCCTCGCCGTCCTGTCAAACGAGGCGAGGACCCAGGGAGAGGAGAGGGAGGAGAGGAGGGGATGGGAAGAGGAGAGAAGGAGAGGAAAGGTGGAGAGGTGGAGCAGAGTGGAGGATACTAGAGGAAAGGAAAGGAGGAGAAGGAGGAGAGGAGGAGGAAAGGAAAGGAAGGAGGAGGAGGAGAGAAGAGTAAAGGAAAGAAGGAGGAGCGGATAGGAAAGAAAGGTGAAGGAAAAGAAAAAGGAAAGGAGACCAGAAAGAAAAAAAGGACAGGGCTAAAGACAGAGACAAGAAACAAAGACGAAAAGGAACGAAAAAAGAACAACAAAAGAAGAGGAAGGTTCATCTCCTTCGGCCCGAGCGGGAGGTCAGCGCCCGTCCGCCTCCCCGTCGTCCCGCGAGGCTGCTTACCCGGAAGGAAGCGCCGACGGGGCGTGGGAAGGATGCTGTCGCAAGGGGAGGGGGAGGGGGGAGAGGGAGGGGGGGGGGGGAGGAGGAGGAGGGTCGTCCAAAAGAAGATCCGACACGCTATGGTATGCAACGACGCGCAATCGCACACACATACACACGTACACGCAACAACGTAGTCTTTTCTCGCCTGTGTCTGTCTGTCTGTCTGTGTCTGTCAGCCTGTCTGTCTGTCTGTCTGTGTCCTGCCTCCCTGCCTCCGTCGCTCTCTCACAACCTACTCACAAACCGCCCCCCCCCCCCCTTCCACCCTCCCACATGATATATAAACGACGGACCGCCCGCCCGCCCGATGATTTAGGAAACCCGCGATGTTTAATTCCTTTTCACGCTTCCCTGCCCATTTCCATCCGCGTTTCCGTCAGCGCCATGATAAACCTCTCTCCGCTGCCTGCCCGGGGCCTATCCCGCCATGCACAGGGGCGCGCGTAGATACCGTATCTCTTAAGTTATAATGCATGTAGATGTATGCAATGGTAGGTAAAGGTACGTGTTTGTCTGTCTGCGCTATCATAGAGGTATTATGCATGCGTGAAAAAAAAATATATATATCAACGTGGACGAATGCACAGAGACGTATGCATATGTATGCACGCAAGCACAAACGAACGCGTACATGAAACAGAAAGAGTGAAACGAATGGGCGGCGTTCCGAGGGCGCCCATTCCACCCCTAAAGCCCCGGAAATGCCTCTCCATCCGCAGGGGGGGGGCCTCCTCCATCCCCACCCCCCATACCCCCGGCCCCGCTACTTTCACTCTCGAACCAGGCGTACGAGCGGGACTCACGGGCTCGACTCTCGCGCTCCACGGGGGGGGTTTGGGAGGGAAGAGAGGAGAGAGAGGAGAGAGAGAGAGAGAGAGAGAGAGAGAGAGAGAGAGAGAGAGAGAGAGAGAGAGAGAGAGAGAGAGAGAGAGAGAGAGAGAGAGAGAGAGAGAGAGAGAGAGAGGAGAGAGAGAAGAGGAGAGGAGAGATGAGAGAGGAGAGGAGAGGAGGAGAGAGGAGAGAGAGGAGAGGAGGGAGAGAGAGAGGAGAGGAGAGGAGAGGAGAGGAGAGAGAGAGAGGAGAGAAGGAGAGGAAAAAAAAGGAACAAGAAAAAGATAGGAAAATAAAGGAAGGAAGAACGAAAAGAAAGAAAGAACGAAAGAAAGAAAGAGTTAGAGAGTGATGGGGCGAGGGGGGTCACAAAAGGGAAAGATAAAACAAAACAAGAAACCCTTACATAAAAAAAAAACCGTTGACACTAATTACCCTGAGATGCCCATCCCTCAAGTGCTCGCTGGACACTGCACCCTCACCCGAAACCCCACATCCTACCCGCCTCCCCATCCTCCTTCCTCCAACCCCCTCCCCTCCCCCTTTTCATTCACTCCTCTCCCAATCCAATCCCCGCCTCCCCCTCTACCTCAACCCCATCCCCACCCCACCCAACCCCTTTCCCCCCCTTCCCCACCCCAACCCTATCTCCCCCCACCCAACCACCCACACCCTGAAACTCCCTCTCCCAATCCACCTCCCTCCCACCCCCCTCTATCCCCACCCCCACCCCAACCACCCACACCCTGAAAGGCTTCAATCCTCATTCACAAAGACCAGCCCCGACCGACACCCCGAAATAGCAACACGAGAGAAGTCTATTCCGACACCCTTTCTTTCCGTTCCGTTCACTTCGGTTTCGGTTCCGTCGCGTTTTTTGCCACCCATTCCGTTCCTGCCATTCCATTCCGTTATTTTCCTTTCTCCTCTAACCCGCTGTTTTCTTATCTTTTGTTTTCCGTTCCGTTCCGTGCCGTTCCTTTCCGTTCTGGTCTGTCCCGTTCCCTTCCTTTCTGGTCTGTTTCCGTTCATTTCATTTCTCCTCCGTTCCTTTCCTCTCCTCTCCTTGCTCCCTTCCCCTCGCGCTCCCCTAACCTTACCCCCCCCCCTCCCCAAACTCCAGTCATCACGTGATAACTGCAGCCGTAAATATTTACCCGACGGGACATTCAGCCGCGGGGAAAAAATACTCGAGGAGCAACTACCTGATGACTGATCCCTCTCCCTCTCTCCTCTCTCCCTCTCTTCCTACTCTTTGCCCTCCACTCTTCCTTCTTTCTCTTTCTCTCTCACCACCCACCCCCCTTCTCTTTCCTCCTCACTATAACCACACCCCCATCCCCCCTCCCATACCCAACCCCTATACCCCCTCCTTCCCCCCTCCCACACCCAACCCCTATGCCCTCCTTCCCCCTACCATACCCAACCCCTATACCCCTCCTCCATACCCAACCCCTATCCCCCCCTCCTTTCCCCTCCCATACCCAACCCCAATACCCTCCTCCCGTACCCAACCCCCGCTCCTCCCCCTCCCTTTTCCCATACCCAACCCCTATTGCCCCCCTCCTTTCCCCTCCCATACCCAACCCCAATACCCTCCTTCCCGTACCCAACCCCCGCTCCTCCCCCCTTCCCTTTCCCCATACCCAACCCCTATGCCCCCCCTCCTCTTTCCCTCCCATACCCCCATACCCCCCCTCCTTCCCACTTGTAGCGCCTCCTCTCGAAAGCAACACCGGAAGAGGCTCTGCCGCTAAATATAGGCTCCCGAGGCTCGACCGGATGCACTGATCCAGACCGACCGCGGCGAAATGTCATCCGATATTAGCATCCTTCTGTGCCGCTACCTTTCTTTTGTTTCTTTCCTCGTCTCTGGTTATTCTTTTTTTTTCTTTTCGCAAATCAGTCTCTCTCTCTCTCTCTCTCTCTCTCTCTCTCTCTCTCTCTCCTCTCTCTCTCTCTCTCTCTCTCTCTCTCTCTCTCTCTCTCTCTCTCTCTCTCTCTCTCTTCTTTCTCGTGTTCATCGTATACATCCCATGATCGCCTCTCTCTCCTTCTCCTTGAAAATTTTCCTAATGATTTCTCTCCTCTCTTCATCCTGTTCCCCTTCTTCCTCCTCCGCCTGTTCCCTTTCATCATTCTCTCCCTCCTCCTGTCCCTTTCATCCTCCTTTCCCTTTCATCCTACTCTTCCTCCCTCCTCCTTTCCCTTTCACCATCCTCTCCTCCTTCCTATTCCCTTTCATCATCCTCTCCCTCCTCCTGTTCCCTTTCATCCCCTCCCTCCCTCGTTCATCCTCCTCCCTCCCTCCCTTCTCCTCCTGTTCCCTTCCTCCCCTCCTTCCTCCTCCTCCTCTTCCTTTAATTCGTACCCAAACCCCGTCCACCCTACCCACCTCCTCGGCCCCATCCACGAGGAAGCCATCTAACTATCGGAACTCAATCACAGAGGAGGAGGGGAAGAGGAAGAGGGGAAGAGGAAGAGGCAAAAAAAGAGGGAAGCGAGCGATAGAGGAAGCGATAAGAGGCGAAAGGGCGATAACGCCGATGATACGAAACGGGAAAGAACGCAGAACGGAAATAATTCGTACGGAAGAGAACAGAGGAAAATTTCAAAAGGGAAATACTCCCAATATAATAACTCAATCATTTCTGGAACGGCGAGGAAAAGGGGTAATGCTAAACAACAAAAAACAAAGGAGAATAAACGTGGAACTGACAAATAAAGTGAAAATGAGAATGGGGGAGAGAGATTGAAACGGAGAAATAAAAGGCGGAGAGGAGAGAGGGAGAGGGAGAAAGCGAAAGACAAAGACAAAAACAAAAACAAAGAAGAGAGAGAGAAGAGAGAGAGAGAGAGAGAGAGAGAGAGAGAAGAGAGAGAGAGAGAGAGAGAAGGAGAGAGAGAGAGAGAGAGAGAGAGAGAGAGAGAGAGAGAGAGAGAAAGAAAAAAAGAAAGAGACAAATATACACCGACAAATAAAGACAAATACCGAGAGAGAGAAAAGGAGACAGCCAAAGAAAAAAGAAAAAAAAAAAAAAAGAGAAAGAAAAATAACGAGAAAAACACCACCACCAAACGACCCCACGCACGACCGGGCAGCGACGACAGCACCAGTGACGGCTCCGAGGCGGTTGGCGCGCCGAGTCGGCCCCCGCGTGACGCCCATACCTGACGACGCCGCAGGTAACGCGTCATGGGTACGAGGGTATGGGTACGAAAGCAGGAAGAGTGGCCAGGGGTTGGTAACATGGGCAGGGGCTTTATTATGGGCAGGGGGTTGGCTAACAGGGGGGGATGGTAACATGGGCAGGGTTCGTATATGTTCCGCAGGGTTGGTATATGGGCAGGGGTTGGAATTATGCGGCAGAGCGTTGGTATTTTATGGGCAGGGCGTTGGTATTCA